TAGCCAGAACCGGAGACGATGCAGAAGCATTAGTGGGAGAGACGGTGGATGCGACGGCGGCGGAAGTAGACGCAGTAGAGGAGGCCATGTCAAATATGAAGGAAAAACTCGTGAAAGAAGGGGGAATGCAAGATTGCCGGAGAAGAGAGTCAAGAACCAGAGCAAAGAAGCAACAAGTGAACAAGAAAGCAATGAACAAGAAAACTTGAGCACGAAGGAAGAGAACGGTGAAAGTGATTTTCACCTTAGGGTAAAAAGAGTGTTTTAAACGTCTTGGTGGGCCTGAGGTGAATGGGCTTATCAAATTAATTCAAATAGTTAATTTGAATATCCGTAACAGCCGCCAAAAACATTTCCCCAAAGACAAATTTATGGAGCAGAGTCACGAGTTTGTGTAGACTCTCGAGTTTGACAACCTTGGTCCAAATCCTTCTGGTTTATTGCAAATCTAAGTTCTTTGTCTCTCTCCCATTGTTTATTTTTTGAGTTCATCCATGGGTGATGCAAATTCCCATCTCTGATCTCTTTCAACTTAAACAGGATATTAAAGCATGTAAGGTAGAGATTGATCGTCTAAAAATGATGATTGAATCTATGAGTAAGCCCTCTCACTCATATACTTTGTCCATGAAGGGTAAAAGCATAGTTGTCAATCGCGGCCGGAGTGGCCACTATCGCGGTGCTCTGGAGCGGAGCGACCCGATGCCGCAATGGTGATGTTGTCGCATCTCGGATTTCTGTTGCGGCTGGAGCAGCCGCGTCGAACGTGGAGCGGAGCGGCCAAAAACAGCAGAATCGCGCCGCGTCTTGGACAGACCCTTCATTAAGAGTAAGTCCGTCATTTCTGTTGGGTTTTTCTTGCCCTAAATCTTCCTCTCCCTCTCGCGGAATCATTATTGTTGGTTTCTGAACGTCTCGCACTCCCTCTCCTCTCTCTCTCGGACTTGATTCTTTCTCTCTCGGGAACGACCGTCGACGCACTCCGGTCGTCTTCTTCAGGCGTCTCTGTCAGACGCTCCTCCAGTTCCGACGCACTTCGTCAGTTCCGCCTGACGCTCCTCCAGTTCCAATGCTGCTCCTCCAGTTCCGACGTCCTCCTCTGTCTTCTTTGTTTGTCTTCTCATTTTCTATTTTATAATTCAACATATTTATTTTTAATTTGTTATTAAATTTAATTCAGCAGTTTTTTTTTTAATTTTTGATTAAATTTAATTCAGCAGATTTTTTTTAAAATTTTTGATTAAATTTAATTCAGCAGAATTTCTTTTAATTTCTGATTAAATTTAATTCAGCAGTTTTTTTTTAATTTCTGATTAAATTTCATTCAGCAGATTTTTTTAATTTCTGATTAAATTTAATTCAGCAGATTTTTTTTTAATTTCTGATTAAATTTAATTCAGCATTTTTTTTTTTTAATTTCTGATTAAATTTAATTCAGCAGATTTTTTTTAATTT